GGTCCCAAAATCCCCAATTCCGTGGGAAATAAGGGATTTTATTTCGGGAGGGGTCCAGGGGAATAAAAAAAATTCCCAAATTCACAGAAAATTAAAGAAATTTTTTAAAAATTTATTTATTATTAATTAATTTCATTTCTCAGCCTAGCAGTGCCAAGCAATCGAGCCCAGATCGGCAGGCGCGATCGAACGATCGCCGATCTAATATCCCTATTAATGATCTATACATATTTCATATATTCAATTTAATTTCTATTACAGTATACCACATATACGATATTATTATTCATTATATATATATCTTTATATTGCTAATATTTATTTTTATTTTATGTATAAATTTTTAGATATATATTTTATGTTTTTATATTTTGCTATTATTTAAAAGTCCTACCTCTAATCAAATAAACTAAAACTCCCTTTATTTTAAACTATATTTAAATATATTTTTCTATTTATAGTTTTCATACTGATAGCTGTACTTTATATTCATATATCTATATTATGCATATTATATATTAAAATACACTATAATAATATAGAATATTTATATTAAATACTATACATATATACCTATATTTATTTACATTTTATATGTATTTATACTTACATATATTTAGATATGCATATATATTTATAATTTTATGTCTGTATATATTTATTGTATATTTGTATATTTTTTATATTATTTATTTAAAAAAACCAGCCTCCAACCAAATAAAAACCAATAAATCATTTATTTTAAACTATACTATTTTCATATTTCTATTTTCATATTTATAATTTATATTTATAGATATTCTTTTATTTGCATTATTTATATTATATACTATATATTTAATATAGATAAGATTTATCTGTTTAAATTTTATATTTATACAAATATATTTTTATTTTTATATTTTTGTTTTTCTATTCTTTGAATGTTTTCCCTGAACATAGAATTATTTTCTCCTAATAATGCAAGAAATCTCTCAGAAACAACCTGTCACCACTTAGAAACCTGGCAGCAGTTTGAATGCCAAAAGCCTCCTCCAAACTGATCTCAGGAACCTGGGAGTGTGAGTTTGGTTTTCCCAGGGAAAAGGGCCACAGTTTATTTCGGGAGAGCTGTGCACCCATCCGGGCTTGTGCCTGCTGAAAGTCCACATGGACAGGGATTGCTCCCGTACCACAGCTGGAACCACCTGGAACCCTGGCTGCCTTTGGGGCGTCAAAAGCCTCCTCCTGAGTGATGCCAGGAACATGGCAGGGTGACTTTTGTTTCCCAGGGAAAAGGATTTCATTCCCAGTATTCCCAGTATAACTCACGCTGTAGGATGTTAAAGATGATGTTTTTAATACTCTCTGCTAATGTATGTTAATGGTAATAAAAGGGGCCGAAGATTGGAGAGAATCCTGCTTCCAGGTACAAGAAGAAACTTGGATTCTGCCTCCTTTTCTCCAGATAGACCAGCAGGAGCTCCATGATATTTTAAGCTTCTTTGTGTGAGATTGTATATAGACACAGAGTAAACCATAAATCTGAAATACTTAAATCCTCACAATACCGAGAATGTAAATACAGCTTTGCAAATGAGGGAGTCACTTTTACAAAGAGCTGGCCACAGAAAGTGCAGGAACTTCACTGCTGGTGGTCATGCCTAGATAAGGGATTGCAGAAAATCTGAACCACTGAACCGGCTGGTAGGTAGATCAACACAAATGTACATACATTGATGCTGGTTCTTTTAATGTAGACTGAAATCTTCCAGGACCCAGTTGTGGAATAAAAATATAGCAGTGGCCAACACTCAGACACACTGAGAATCTGTGTGAGAGAATCAGAAGTCAGAGTCAGAATCTGTTCTGAGAATCTCAGACACAGTCTGAGAATATTGTGTCACTTTTGTTCCATCTGGAGCTAGGAAGGAGGTATGAGGAAACAGGATGCTTCTCCCAGCAGGCCTCTAAGTTTTTGAAAGGAATTATGAAAGACCAAATAAAAAGGAGAAGAGAGAATCACCCGCTTTTGCCTCCTGCTAACCCCTTTAGGCTGCCCTGAAAATAATTTGGTTGTATTTCTGCCTGGTACTGATTAATTCTCACATCAGGAACCATTCCACCTCAGAAGGGGAGTATGAAGGAGTCTCCATTAAGCCTGCAAGCAGATCCATTTAATTGACGGGGAGCGCTTACACCTGCTACGTTTCTATGCTATAAATCCTTGAAACCTGTTCCACTAGTGACAGATGGCCTGGTTCAGGATTAATGAACAAAATATCTGTGCCACTGCATCAAAAAGCTGAAGAAGCTGGCATCAGATCCCCAACCAGAGAAAAATGTGCAGACTACTCCACACCTTTCCTCCTGGAGATTTTTCCTGGGGCGAGGGGCAAGAGAGATGTGGCCATTTGTCTGGGAATTCCTGGCAGTGAGCAGTCTTCCTGGAGCAGTCCTCTGCAGCAAGCTCCCTTCTCCCTGGAAGTGTGGACAAATTGCCATCGAGTCTAGGACAGGATGGAGTAGCAAGGGGCAAGCTTGCTCCAGAGATTGGCATCCCAGGGCACCCGGGTTGTGGTGTAACACCAGCCAGGTGCCTGGTTGGTTTGTGTTGGATGTGCTCTGTAGGCTGCACGTGGGTGTTTTTCAGGGTTCCCCAGGGAGGAATCCTGTGGCTGACTGTGACACTCAGCTTTAGTGGAGTGCTGAGCAGCTCCAGCATAAACAGTGCGTAGAACAGTGGCAAAAAGCTCCCCACCACACAGAGGCATCATATTCTGTGCTGAAACAGTGACAGAAACAGAAAATGAGCAAAGAGATGTTGTATCTGCACAGTAAAAATACCCAGTAAATTAATATTTTTAATTGCTGTTACACACAGAAGAAATGAGAAAAAAATTACATTCCAAACAAAGAATTAAGATAGTAAAACCAGCATAAAAATGTGTTAAGAAAAGATCCCAGATCAAGTGGCTGTACTGTATGTGGTCACCTTTGCAATCACAGTAAAGAAACTAAGTGCTAGAGACTTTCAGACATGGCAAAGTGCTTGACTCCCCAGAGGAGAGCAGCTGTTTCAGGCATATCTTTCAGTGCACTCTGCCTGGAATGCGTGGGAGAGGGGCTGGAGCAAGAGACTCACACGGGTCCAAGATAAAGGTTAGTGTTCAGGACAGACCAGCCACTCTGCATTCTCAGGCAGGCAGAACTGCCACTTGCCCGGTGGCATTTGCTTTTTCCTTCCTTGTTTTTTCTTGTTTTGTTTGTTTAGTTTTGGGGTTGGGGGGGGGGGTGTTCTTGTTTTTGTTTTTGCTTTCTGGTTTTTGTGTTTTATTTAGCTAAGCTTCAGGTTCTGCTGACCTGACCCTGCCAGCACCATAGGCTTGGAGCAAGCCTCCTCAGCTGAATTAGGAGCAAGGCTTGGTCCAGCAGGAACCTGCACCAGCAGGGTCTAGATAAATATGTTTCTAGTGATTCAGCACCATTGCCCAACGGGCTGGTTTTGGTTTCTTGCTTTTCTTCTGTCAGGAAAAGGTGTCTTTTATTTCTGTATGCTCTGTCTTTTGACTGATCCGAATTGGCCCAGTCATGTTCCTACTGAAGTCTTGGTGGTTCAACCCCTGCATCCTATGCTACCACCTCACTCTTGAGCCATCACACCACTCCAGTAGTTCACCGAACAGCAGCATAGTGTCACCACAGAAGCAATACAAGCCACAGAATTTTTGGCGTTCCTGACAACTGGCCGCCTGTTTTCATTTGTAGTCCGTCTAGAGTTGTGTAGTTTTATTCTTTACAGTAAGAGCAAAAATAAAATAACATTAAGAAATTTTTCTCCAAACTAAGAAAATGAGAACCTATCAAATATTTTAAAGAAACCATAAAAATTTGCATTGTGTTTGCTTCTGAGTTCATATTAAGGTTTTACTGCAGCTGCTTCAAAATTATGGTCCATTTCACGTGTACACAGTTCATATTCCTTGGTGTGTAATTCCTTGCCTTCATTTGTGTTTGTACAACAGCTAGTGCTACAAAAACTAGGTAGTTTCTAGCTGTGGTCCAGATTTAGATCAGTGAACAGCAGCATTTTTATCTTAGTTGAGAACATGGTGATGGTTGAGAGCTGTATTTCTAGATCAACTTCTGTTCTGGGCCATAGGACTGGTGGTACAAGCACTTCCTCTGCTGCAAAGCCCACTGCTTCCTTGATTCAGGTGAAAAGAAAGGAATTCAAGAAGGATGTGCTGACCTTATTGATTCCATCAAGGCTTTCTCTCTCTGCTGATTTTAAAGCCAGTAAAACTTACAATCAGAGAAATTAAACATCCCTTTGAAAGTTGCCTCGTGAAACCAAGCTGAACTTCTGCAGCCTGAAAGTTGAACAGAATGACTTCATTTTCTGTTCCAGCTTGTTCAAAAGCCCCAGCAGACTGTGAGATATTCTGTTTTGGTTGGATTATACTTACTGTAGCTAACAGTGAAGGACAAGACCAGACTGCAAAAGTTGGACACAAGGTTCACATCTAAGAATTTGGTCAAGCCTTTTAGAAGAACTAAAAACTATTTACAAAACTGAAATTAGAGAGTTCCGATTTTTAAGCTAAACCTCCCTCAGAGTGCGAGTGTAGTTGAGCCCATCCTGTTAACCAGCATGAATAAATATTTTGCATTTTTTTTTCTATCTGATGCAAATTGAAAAGGCAGTCACATATTCCATGTTTAAAGAGAAGTCCTGCAGGTCCCTAAAAGCAATTTTAACATTAAAGTTGGATAATACTTGCGACTTAACACAGCACTTGACATCTTCAAAGTGCTGTATGAACATCAATCCTCACGACACCCTTGTGAGGTAGGTAAGGGCTAATAGCTCCACTTTAGAATGGGGTGAGAGCCTGGTCCCCTGCTGGAATAACTCGGCATTGCACTGGCCCTCATACACCAGATGTGGACCTGGCCCCAGAAAATTTAAGTGACTCACCCAAGGCCATAAAATGAGTGAGCATGGATAAAAGGCAGAAGAATTACCCAGGAGGATTTCTGTCATGAGAAGACAGCAGCTTCCCATCCTCTTCCAAGAAGATAGTTATGATGCCTCTGCATAAGAGACCCTGTCTGTATTCAGAAACCAAGCAAAGAGGCACCTGCCACTAAGCTCTACAGTTGCTGTTTGCTTTGATCTGCTTCTTCCAGAACAGCTCCCAAAAACACCATGATAGCAAGATGAAAATGTAGGAGTTAGTGTCAAGCTACAGGACTGGAAAACTTTGAAAATCCACTTCAAGTTGCCAAGCTCCTCTTGGGAATTTTATAAGCTTGTGTAAAAATATATAAATTACCTCCACTGATGACAACATGAAACCTTCAGTAATCAACTCAAAAGCCATGTAAGATTAATTCTTAGACCAATTGGTCTTACAGATGCCTCAATATGGAGGAGTAAGAAGCTAGGTATTCAGCACAGAGTAAGAATAAAGCTTGAAGTTAAAATCTTCTGGCTTTGTTCATCTTGAACTGCCATTTGTACATGAGCATCACCCTGTGACACAGCCCAGATGAATTACTAGCACTTAAAAACAAGTTGTAATTAGCACTGCTTCTTTGACTGGCCCTGGGAGTTCTTTGCAAGGAGGATCTGCCCACAGAAAGAGGCTGAAGTGAACGTGCTGCATCTTTTATATGTCCAATTAAAGAGCCAAAGGACTCTCAAGGACTGTGCTCCTGAAAAGGAGAAGAATGGATCGAACCTCAGTTTTACAATGCAAAGAGGCAACAGGACAGCAACATGGTCACATATGAACACCACTCATTTTTTTGCTCTATTTCAAAGTGAAGATTGCCCTCGCTGGGGTTGAGGGAACAGTTTTAATCCCAAGAAAAGTTATTTAACAGCCTGCCATCAACTGCTTAGTACTTCTGAGGATTTGGGTATCTCAAAATTGTGTCAGATCACAGTCCACAGCAGCTGGTCTCTTCCCAGCAGGAAAGAGCCTCCAGGAAAATAGTCTCATTCAAATAATACGGATTAGAAAGAGGAATGCAGAGCCAGAGAGAGATTTTGAAGACCAAGAGCCTTTGCCAGAAAGCCTCCAAGCCAACCAGGACTCTCCTTTGCATGCTGAGGGCTCTGCCTTGTGTTCCCAGGAAGGCTGAAGCTGTTGCAGCACTGGGATGGAGCCAATGTGACTGGCCAATGTGTCCCAGCCAAGTCACTCCAGGTGATCTGCCCCAGGACAGCAAGGGAACAACAGCCCACTTAGGCTTCACAAGTTTCTCCTGTCCCACCTAGAGACCTCTGCCACCAGAAACTGCACCTCTGAAGGCCTGTGGAGAGGAGGGACCTCCTAATAACACATCAAGACTCTTTTCTGCAAGTATCCAGTGGCTGATGGTAGAGCAGGACAGCAAAGCGAGCCAAGAAGAAAAAGCACACAGAAAAGCAACTCAGCTATTTTCAGGTAAACTACTCGTTTCTAGAGAGGAAAAAAATAATCAAAACTCAAGACTTTTAAATAAAGCTTACTTTATCACGCAAGCATTTCCCTCGAAGCAAAGGGAAGCTCAGGATGTGGGGGAGCTCCTCTGAAGAACTGCCAGCTAAGGACTGAGTGTGCTGGACTGACCCATGCCAAGGAGCTGGGACTTAAAGACTGCAGTGTGCTGTTTGTTCACATGCTGGGACGATGGTGGGACTCACCCCAAATGCTTAGCTGGGTCACTCTGCAAACAGCCAAGCTGAGTAACAGCAAATGACATCTGCAGAGAGCTACAGTGCAGGGTTCAATGTGTGGCCAGGAGATAAGCAACGCTGATGAATGAAAATGGTTTATGGCTCTAAATTCCCTTAGCTGTTTACTCCAGGCAGGCCCCGATGTGCCAGTGAATGAATACTGACAGTATTACATAACAGCATTAAAGGGAAGGGATTACATGGGGCTGTGCTACCTACAGTGCATTCCCTCTCCATAATGCAGCTGCCCTTTCTGATCCCTGTCTGAAAAGCAGCAGATGCCCCCAGGGGGTCAGGGTGGTTAACCGAGATTTCTGTAATACTGGCTGCATTTGCACTGATGGAGAAGTCATGGGGAGGCAATGCCTATTCCCTGCCAGGCACACCAGGTGAGGCTGGAGAGGAGCAGGAGACCCACTCAGCACCTCTCAACACAAGGGAAAAGCTAGCAGGGGTCTGTGTGAGTCCATGTGAGCTTGAGAAGGAAGTGGCAGGCATGTTGAACAGAAAGGACAGTGCTTTTCAGGAAGCTCTGCTGAAAAGGGCTTTCTAAAGAAAAAAAGAAGTGGTGTAAAGAGGATCGTTTTCCACCAGCTGGCAAACCACAGCAATCTACATCCAAAATCAGGGCCTTGATCACAGGAAACGATCACACAAAGATTTAAGATACTGCAGGCAGCAGTACTAAAAGTACTACAGAAAATGCTATTAAAACTTAATGGATACATAGAATATTACTTGTTAGGACATTGGAGAAAAAAGGCATAAAGATTAGATGCCTGTCTGTCATACTAAGGATAATTAGGGCATACACTAAGTAAGAGAATGAGTAAGTTCTGCTTTAAAAATCCAAGTTCCTCATGTACCCATTACATCTCACTGGTGGCTGTAGGCACCGTGTAACTGTGTGCATGTGGTGAGGAGAACACGCAGGCCTGGCTACCGAGATGTCCCTGAAATCCCACCAAACTCCTGCTCTCTACAGTTGTGCCACAAGCAGCAATGACGACTTGCACCTAGAGACCTGCCCTGGAGCAGTGATCACTGCAATCAAAGCACACGGCTCTGCCAGCACACCTCTTGCTCTGTGCCCTCTGCTTGGGGTTCTGCCTTCATGCTGGTTCTGCTGGGTACTGCCCCACATGCTGTCACTGATTCCAGAGCTCAGCTCCCATCTGGGTATGTTTTTAGTCTCCCTCCAAGCTTTCTTTCAGCAGGGAATAGCTCCAGTTTGCATACTGAGTTTGTAATGCACAAAAAGAGACAAACATCGGTTAAATTAACTTTTACCTATGAATTTAGAAGAGATCTGTGCCTGTCTGCCTACAGTCAAGAGCAAGCCTTTTAGCACAGTGCATGGCCAAACCTCCTTTCCACCAGCCCTCCTCTTCCCAGACATTCAGCATCAATTTCGAGACTAACAAGTAAAATGCAGTAGTACAGCACTTCCAAGGAGAAAAAGTTGAATGAGTAACTACTGCAGGGACAGTCTAAGCTTTCTGATGTGGACTTCACACTGAAGTAAGCTGTATTCAGAGAAAGCCAATGAAAAAAAACGTAATTCCCAAAGGTAATGCTTCAAAGAAGCAAAATCAACATCACCAGTGTGCCTAGAGAAATGGAGATCTCTCTCAGGGGCGAATGCAGCTACAGCACCTGAGACACAACCCATGTGTTCACAGACTATTGGCACTCCACCTAGCTCCTCTTCCTGAAGTCCTCTTCCTCTCTGGTCTCCACGGCCGACAGCGCAATCAGCATTTGGGCGGCGTAGTAGGTGGCCATGATGATCAAGCGCGAGTAGGGCACGGGGAAGCAGAACTCGTTGAGCGCGATGGTGAGGTCCGACACCATGAAGAGCATGGCACCCACGCAGGCCGACAGCTTGGTCCACGTCCACAGGTCATTGCACAGCTGCACGCCCGCCACTGCCCGCCAGCCCATGAAGCCGATGAGGCCGATGTAGACGGCCACCAGGTAGGTGAAGGGGCCCGAGAGGTAGGAGTACAGGAAGGCATAGCAGGAGCTGGAAACAACGCCCATCAGCAAGCCGGCTTTGAGGTCCAAAGGCTTCATGCCAAAGGCTGAAGAGTACAGGATGTGTGTGATGGCGAACATCAGCAGACCTGAAGAGAGGCATTGACACAGAAAGTGGGATCCTTCATCAGTGACTGGCAGAAGAAAACATTCCTTGCAGTGCTACCTACCAGTAACACTACCAGTGATAACCATACTGACCATTTGGGACCATTTTATTACAAAAATCTGTACATGGTAGATAGTACCAACCCCCCAACCTAAAAAAAAAAGCCCCAGCACAATTACAGCTGCAGCCAAGTACAGCTCTGCTGTGAGAAAAGCCTTTCTGCTGATAAGCTGTGTGGAACTGATAGAACCTGACTGAGAAGGAATTGTTCTTGTTTTTCAGGTAGTTCCTCTTCCCCTGCTTTGGATGGAACATTGAGAGGAAGTCAGACCAAAGATCACCCCCTCTAACTATCCGTAGTGTTTTGCTCATAGGTCACATGTGGAACAGGAAGACTGGAACCACAGCAGTGTAGGAACAAAATGTGACAAAAGACACAAATCCCTCTGAACACTGACACAAAGCCTGCCCATATTTAGCCACAATCCCAAAGGCACTTGAGGACTAAATCTGGCTGCTTCTCCATCTCTGCCCATAGCTGGGAGAAACCTAAGCTGGAAAGAAGCAGCTGGCATATTTCATATGGGACTGCACCAATGTGATCTGCCAACAATTTTTTGGCTATTTGCAAGACTCAGATGAACCTTACCAGGAATCAGTCAGAGAAAATAAAATGCTGGCTTCCCTTTGAAGTGCAACACCCCTGAGAAATGCCAGATGTGGGTGTTGGAAGGTGTTGCCCATATGATATTCACTTGCCACTAATCCATTTGACAAAAGTATGTCCCAATGTGTTGGTACAGCTGCTGTCTCCAAGCTGTCATGACAACTGTAGATAATAGGCCACAAACAGAGCCCAGCTCCTTGGGTCTTCTAGTTCCCAGACACATACATGGTGCAGCTGCAGGCTCTCCAGCTTTATCCTGGCAGGGTTATTAGAGGAGCTGAAAGTCTTCATGCAACTCTACAGCATCAAATGGAGAAAAGGATCTGGGAAGCTGAGTCATCCAGCAGGACACTTGTTAACTTTTAACACGTGATGCGCTGGTGTAAAGGGCAGTCACAGAAACCTGCAGCTGGCAGATGTTGCTTCATCCTACTACTCTTGTGTTGAGGCAGCCCAAGGAAGTCCAAGTGTCTCCCTCCCTTTGGGGAGGACCAGATCAGACACCCATAGAGAGCTCAGCCATGGTGGGATGAGGAAGAAATCCACAGAAGGGAGGGGTCTGGTGTTTTGCAGGGTGAGGCTAGAGAAAATGGACAGTGTGAAGGAGAAAGAAAAGAAGCACAAAAGAGGACAACAAGGAGCTGATGTTTCATAGAGCTATTGCACCTCATGGACAGAACACTGAAGAAACTGAGAGGGGATTTAGGACAAGAGCTTTTTATAAGGTTATAGTGCAGGAAAGGTTAGAGCCCAGTGAGGTGGTAAGAAGGATATGTTGCCCGAGCAGTGAGGAATGGTTTTTTCCTTCAGTGGCAGTATATGGAGCATTCTGCAACAGGGGACTGAAGAATGTGTTGTCCTTCATGCAGGCATCTGGCAGTGAGGAGGAGAAGGAGAGGGCAGGATGTGGCAGGCAAAGAGCATGGAAAGGCAGGAGGAGTTTTGTGATATGTGGTGAAGCTGGTCACAAACAAGGGAGTCAGCTCCCAGGTTTACTCATTCAACACCCACAAATCAAACCAGGAACTGGGGAAAACTCTGATGGCTGCACAGGGAAGGGGATGCATTTCTCAGCCTTTAGTTTGACCCTCTTAACGACATCAGGGAGATCAGCCCTGTTCTCCCACTTTCTTCCTCTGGGTTTCCTCAGGCTGGTAATAAGGCCTTTTTGCTAGTCTCTGCTTTCTTCACCAAATGCATAAACTGTTTCTAACTACCTGCTATCAAAGGAGGTGGATATCAACATGGTAAAGCATCTTCCACATGCAGTAACACACTAGTCAGAAAATAACATGCTATTAGCAGACTGAAACAGCAAATATGAAAAAAGTCAAGCGTGCCAGAAGTAGGTTCCCAGGCTCTCACTTCTCTATAAAGTAATGAACAAATGTCCTTTTATAAACTCATTGCCTCAAAGGCTTTTCAAATGAGCCCAGTTTCCAACCCTTTTTAGTCCAAAAACTGCAGAAATTGAACAGAATGTAGATTTTTATCCAGTTATTCCTCTTCTCTCCTGAAACTTCAAATTCCCACAACTGATGATGTCAAAAATATTGTCAGCTGTCAGCAACAGCAACCCGATGAGTTTTAAATAGGAGAAAATACATTTTTCAGGCGAAGTGAAGGATGAAGTGGAGCAGTGCACTTTATCTGCTCACATCTGAAATGCAAATAGTAACACCTCGCTACAGAAGGTAGTTTTGTGATATGTGGTGAGGCTGTCACAAACAAGGGAGTCAGCTCCCAGGTTTATTCATTCAACTCAGCTCAGTTACCTGAGATTTTCAAGATGCTCCAACAGAGCTTTTCTTCTCCTTATAAGAGGAAAAGATGTGCCTAAACCCACAAAGCAGAACTTCTCAGTTGTGAGACTATAGTTGAAAACCCAACTCCTTTGCATATTAAAGCACATCAACCACATGCTGAATTGCTGTGACTGGTTACCCCTCCTCTAGCACTAACATGGAGAGGAAACTCAGAGATATACCAGTTACATGGGAATGGAGAAGCATGGAACAGTCCATGCACAAAAATGATCACAGGGAGGATTGGGCCTTGAATGTTTCCCAAGCCATAGCTCAACGAGCAACTCCAGAAGACAAAAGCAGTTGGGCTGAGGTGACTGAGCCAGGTACTCCTGTTGGGAGGAGGCCCTTGGGTGGGAATGTCAGCACTCAACACAGAAGGGATGGCACCTCAAGAAAGCTGGAGCTCCTCAGGAACATACCCAAGGTTCAGCCAGATAGATCCAATCCTCAGGGCCTAATCCATACCCCAGCAAAATCAGTAAACATTTTTACATGAACTTTTAATGGGATGGGGATAAACCCTTGGGAAGCAGGATAAAAATCAGATTCAGAGCATTTGGCCTTTCATATCTGGCACTGCACACACTTCCTTCTCATAAAGAAAGAGCTTGTGGGAATACCAGAATAAAACTAAATATTAGCCTCAAGAGAGAGGGGGAAAAAATATGCCTTTGACTTTCAGAGCTGACAACAGCACAAGTCAGGAAAGTTCCCTCGTCTCATCACGTTTTCCAATGGGACAGTCACAGCAGCCAGTTAAGGGTGGGTGTTATGTGTGATCCCTGTGCTGGTTAAATTACCTTCAGAAACCCCACCAGTCAGTTCAGTGAAACACTCAACTGCTGCTGATTTCTTGTGACAGTCCAAGCCAGGGAGTGAGTTGCTGCAGGCAGGTTCAACGTGGCTTTAAATGACTAATCTGAATCATTATGTTCCCGTCTGCAAACTAGCAAAACAAACCAAGCTCATTTTGCTCAGAGAGATGTGGATCTTTCTGTAGAGAAGACAGGCCACTGCAGTAAGGTTTGTCCTTGACTGACCATCATTTAAATGTTTTGCAAAACAGACATGTCTTGTACAACAGGCTGCATGATTCACACTGATAAACCTGCAAGTAGGACAAGATTGCTGCTGCTTTGGTTTCTATCATCCACTTAATGCCTCCCCCAGGCTATGGGCTTGTCTGTCAAAACATGAATGTCTCTCCACCTGTTCTCCACCGAGGACCTTTGGACAATATGTTCCATCCCCAATCCTCACAGCAAAGGACTGACAGATCTCCCTGCAGAGAGATAGGAGATAAATATTTCCCGTAGCTTCATGGGAACTGACGAGTGCCATGAGCATTTCCTTCTCTTCCCCAGGGATTCTCACATTCCACCTTCTCAACTCCAGCCAGCCTAGATGCTGTGACACATCCCAGGAAACCTAACCTGACCCAATTACCTCTCTAACCTCAAGAGAAGCTCAAGAGCAAGACTCATCCATGATGTGATTCCACAAACCATGACAGATTTTAGTCAAAGGATGAGTGCTTCCCAGCGCCCAGGGCTTAAGCTGTACATGAATAAACAAAACATGTGGCCCAGTAACTCATTACTAAATAAAGAGGGTAACAGCTGGGCAATGTGGCATCCCGTTAGGACTGACACTGTACTCACCATGAATGAAGTAGCCCTGCTCCTGCCAGATGAGAAAGGCATCTCCCACTGCCGAGAATATGAGTCCTGCTAGGATGCGGCTGGCACTCCGGTGTGACACTAAGAAGTTAATCCCATGAGCCAGGAGGAAAACCCACAGGCAAAAGATGGGCAGACATTTAATGAGGGCACTGAACCAGGATGGGCTGGAAGTTGGCAGCCAGAGGACAAAATAGACACAAGTGGCTTTAAAGAAGGGGACCAGTTTGGGGCCTTCACTCTTCACCTAAAGAAAACAAACATTAAAAAACAAGAAATTAATAGGATCATTGGAAGCATCAGTGGAATAAACTTCCTAACAGAACTGGCTTCTTCCCTTTGAAAGTTGCTCTTCCATATACTGTCAGCTGGCAGTGTTTCAATGTCAAGAAATGCTGGTTGAACTTGACAATGATCCCCTGCCTAGACCTTTGCAACCTTCTCTGCTGAAAACACTTCTCAGTTGGCAGGATGGGCATTGGGTGGTGGATTTGAAGGAGGTTTTAGAACCTCTTCTCTTTATTTGTTCCACTGAAAATATTTAGTCAATTTAACCATTAGTCAAACTCCTCTGGTGCTCCTTGTCACCTATGTTGTGTTTAGGCTAACCCCTTTTATACACCTTTCCAGGAGCTGTGAAAATACTGCATGCCCAGATATATCCCAGCAGCAAACAAGCCAGTAAAGGCACAAACCTTCTCTCCCATTTTCATAAATCCTGCTGCTTAGCCAGTTGCAGATCACCCTGAGGATACAACCTCTCTCCTAATCCATTTTTCCTCTGCCCTGTAGCCTCATGCCTGGTGCTTGCTGTTGGCATCACGAGCATCAAAACTCAACACATCAACCTCCCAGGTGATGATGTCACTTCTTCGGCTGACTAATACCAACATCAACCTCGTGTCGCTTTGTTCTAGCATTACACTAATAGTACAGTACTCATATTGCAGGAAATATTTTTACTTAGGGCTCTACTGTATAAATACAGACACAAAAATGCAGCATGAGCACTTGGCTACTCATAACAAAACCACAGCAGGGGCAGGGCACAGAGCTATGGGCTCCACAAGCTGGTTCTGCTCTTGACAAACCCTTAGCTGAGACCACTCTGTACAGTGACACATATTGTGTTCACCCGCCCTCCTGGCACATTCCTGCATTTCAGTGCAGGTGGGGAAAACTCCACATGAGAAACAAAGCTACGAGAAGCAAAGCTATGATTTTATTTTCTCCCGGAGAAGATCTGAGGGCCAAAACAAGGAGTAAAGGAAAAGACTGTAACTGCTTCCATGCCTGCCTGAGCTATGCCCTAAAGCTTACAGGAGGCCTGTTTCCTCTTGCACCTAAGGTAGTGCAACCCCCAGAGCTCCCCTGCAAGCAGGGATTCACCCTCAGTCTTCTCATTTCTTTGGTCAAGCAAGATTTATTTGCTATATATCACAATGACTTCCCACTAGTCATTGCCAAAGCACACAGAGGCCTCCTGCACTGGAGGAGGACATGGGGGAAAATTTGGAGGCATCCAAACTGATTTCACACTGTGAAATCCAAGTTGTCTCTTTCGCCCTCCCCAAAAAATTGACCCTTTTTCTGCTTCCTGCATCATGGGACATTGTCATGACCGGTGTCCATCTTCCTTTGATGCCTTGGTGCAGATACTTAGAACAGGTGAAGATTGCACAGGAAATATTCCATGCTTACAGTACTCAGGTGATAAAGCCTAATCTCTTAAAAATTCCAGAACTTTGATGGGCACAAGCAAATGGAGTCCGGTGGAGTTGGAAGACAGAGGCAGAGGAGGACATCTTCACATGCACTATCTGAAAAGGGAATGCAATTTCTGAAGCAGTGAGGGTATAAATAAAGGGCATCCCAAGAAGACAGGGCCTTCAAAATTTTTCGCACATCTGATGGAAATTTCCCCAGCATATCAGCAGTTTCTTGGAAATAAGGTATTTCAATATACATAATTCATAGGCTATTGCCAACACAATTTTTAAACACTCCATTAAACAACCAGGCTACACAATTCCCTAGCAAAAGAACATCAGCAAGCTGTTAACTTTCTTGTATTACATGCCGAGCTGTGGTGAGTCCCCTAGTTAGGCTGTCTAAATTAATCAACATTTACCACTCCTTGTCTGCATTCTCTGGGAAAATTCTGGCAGTAAATGAACTCGAAATAAAAGTCATAAAAACCCATGTAGTCTCCTCACAGTACTGGGGCTGCCTGGGAACTATCAAGTATTGTAGGGGAAAGAGTGCATAGAAGCATACAGGAGAGTATTTGGGTTAGTAAACATGGTAGGTTTTATTTAATGCCTCATCTTAACAGGAAAACACCTGCTACAAGCAGTTACAATTACCATCATGGCTTGCCCTCTCCTGTGTGCACACATGATGAGACAGGTTTTAATTACATTTGTCATTTCACCAGGAACCTTGCCTTAGTGAAGCTAAGATACAAACTTGTGCAGAACCATTATGTTTGCTTGGTAAGCTTAGAATTACCTTTTCTCACTATCTGAATGTGAATTTTGCAAGCCCAGACAGCTTTATTTTAGAATAATGGTTTGTATTATTTCCATCCTAATAATAATTGAGGAGCTTTTCATGCATAAGAGTTACAGCACTCTCATGTAAGAATGATCTCATACTTATAGAAGGGCTACAGGCTTCTCATCATTCACACTTCATTTCTTAACACTTTTTTCTCCAAGTATACTTCAGATGAGTTATTTCCAACCATGCCTTTGCTCATAACTGAATGCTGCAGTTCACTGGAACCTTTTTATGGCTCTGACCAAGATGAGGGCCCCATGAGTGGAAATACTTTGGAAAAGTCCTCCAAGAAAAACTGAGGCAACCAGAGGGTGAGGCTGGGGATTATCCTCTCTTTGGTCAAGTGGCTGAGGCTTGGAAAGAGGTGGTGGGGCAATTTGCCACCTGAAGGACAAGTCAAGACTAGTATTGGAAAACCATGTACCAATATGACTGGAAGCTGTGGCTTGAGGAAAGCCAAGCATATAATCCATGATGGGACTTGCTGTACCACAGGGAAGGGGAACATTATTTCTTGTCTGCGTGAATAAATTGGATTAAACCATCCATGTCCTTTGTCCCTGTGTCTCAGAGAAGAATGTGAGATGGGACTGCACCATAGGGCTGGAAAAGGAAGTACTTGATGGAGGTGACAAGATCCTTTTTGCTAATGTGTGTGATTGTCACGGCTTTAAGCTGAGTTTTGACATTTTGTTACAAATTCTATTGCATTTTTCTTCCCAAATCCTTTCTCCTGCTACTGCTAATTTACTCTGTGCTGAAATGCAGTATAGAAAATATCTTGAATGCAAAAACAAGGCAGTATTTCCAAGATTTGAATTTCTAAACGAGCATAATTTAGGGCTTTTCTCAACTGCTTTTCTCAACTGCTATGGGTACGAAGTTACTTAGAGTCTTTAAAAATTAGTTTAAACTGCTGTAAAGTCACTATCTCTGTATTTGTAGAATTACAGTAGAAGTATTATTTATTAAATTATCTGTATCCAACCAAATCCAATGAAACCCTCCAAGACTCTGGCAGACTAAGAGGAACTTGTGTCTTCGCTTTCACCAAGAGAGTTTGTGCCAGATAATCTCCAGAATCTCCAATAATTGTCCCTTCCAATCTCAACCACTCTGTGATTCTGTGATTTTCAAACAAACAGAACATGGTAGTGGCACATGCAGCTCTCTGGAGGCCTGGGGCTTGGATATCCACCTCCCTAGCTGTTCATAGGTTTACAGGATCGCTTCTTGTTTTATCTGTGCTCATTCTGCTCCAGTTTGAGATACTGCTGTATGTGGCCTGTTCTGACTGCTACAGGCATATAATCAAACCAAAAAATTTACACTTGGCTCCTCTACTTCAGAATAAGCCCCATTCACAGAGCTACATTTATAAGACAGTGCCCTGATTTTCTTTAACATTTTGGAGCCAATTGTCTGTACCTGTATCACAAGTGAGAAAGCAAATCCAGCTGCCACAGGGAGGGAGACATCTTCCTCCTGACGTACAGAAGAACATCAGAAGCTTGTTGCATTGAAATGCTAAAGTTGGACAGAGTTCACTGTTCCTAAGCCTTGCACTGGTCCCAGGAAACAATGTGGAGTTATCAACTAATGTTCTTCTCTCTGCAAAGCCCCCTAAATCATCCTGCAATGAAAATGAGCATACAGACACCAGCTGAGTGCCAACATGCTGTGGGGATATGGCTCACAGCCATTGGGCTGCAAAGTGCTGCTTTCCGGGAAAAGTGCTGTAAAAATGATACCTCAGATATTCCACACTGAGCAACACTTGAGCACAGCTGTGTGCACTGGCCAGAAAAAGCTGGGCTGCTGTCCTCCACCCATCCCTCCCATCAGCCTTGTACCATTTTGTGTGTGAGCTGCTCCTCCTGGCTTTTGGCATCCAGCACTGTGGATCCTGCCTTGGTTCTGCCCTACCGTGACAATAGCTCTCACTCCCAGTTGTGTGCCAATCAATATTTATTTCTGCCACTGCAAGCCCATGGCCCTTGTTTTCCATTGCCCAGAATATGTGGCTCCCTGCAAGGCTCTCCAGCTCTGCTCTCCTGCAGGAACAAACATGCTCATGGGGGACAACTGATTGCCTATTGTCATTTGTCAAGGAAGATACTGGCTTGTGCATGTCCCAAGTTGTTCCTAAATAAAATACTGAAAGTAAGTGCTTGTTATGGAGGGTGGTGAAGAGTTACTGAACCAGCCAGTCAACCTGCCTGAAAAACTGTCCTGGTGCAACATATTTTTGCAATTAATATGAGGGTTTATGTTTGTGCTGAAGGTGCCAAGGGCCAAGCATCCAAGACAGATGGCTACTGAACAGGCTCCACATGCTGCAGGAAATTCAGGGTGATAGATAAACCCTTCTCCCCTCAAGTGGAGACAAGACTAGAGGCTGCATCTAAGATGGACTTGTAAAATAGCAAATAAATCACCCAGAAGATGGTACATGTTTTGCATGTGGGAGAATTCACATGCTGGTAATCCTGGCTTCATCATGCTTATGCCATGCAATGAGTTTTGCCAGGTCTTTATTGCAGCTTCTGGCACTCCCCAGCATAACTCAGGGCCTCTGTTTTTCCCACAGGGCTAATGCAGCGAAACTCAGCTCATGCTCAGCTGTTCAGTCAGACCTGTTTGCAAGGGGTCAAAAAAACATGGATTTGTCTGACAGGAGCCTCT